GTGTGTGTGTGTGTGTGTGTGTGTGTGTGTGTGTGTGTGTGTGTGTGAATGTATATTTGCCCTTCTGAATGCAAGTGCCCTTGGAGATTAGAAGAGGGCATCTGATCCCCTGGAGACCAATTTATGGACAAGTTGTGAGCCACCTAAATGTGGGTGCTAGGACCTGATCTTTAGCCCTCTGCAAAAACAGCCAGAATTCTTAATCCATGAGCCATCTCTCCACTTCCCTCTCTAAAATAATAATAATAATGATAATTTAAAAACAAACTTTAAGGGCTGGAGAGATGGCTCAGCAGTTACGAGCACTGTCTCCTCTTCCAGAGGTCCTGAGTTCAATTCCCAGCAACCACATGGTGGCTCATAACCATCTATACTGGAATCTGATAACCTCTTATGGCATGCAGGTGTACATTTGGATAGAGCACTCATCTACATAATAAATAAATCTTTTTTTTATTTAAATTGGCGAAACCATGAATGCTCTACTGTGAGTGTGGCTGGACCCTGAGATGATTTTCCTGAAGGGTGGTGGAGAAAAGGAATGCCATTACTGTCTCCATTGCCTGTCATCATGGCTGACTGCTAACTCTCATCCACACACCAGGACTTAAAATAAATGGGCCTACAGGGGAGTAGTGGTAGCACATGCCTTTAATCTCAGCACTCAGAGTTCGTTCCAGGCAGACCTGGTCTACAGAGTGAAAGACCCCAGCCTCACACTAAGTTAAACATAGCTAACTCCATTTTGTGGGACACCACTGTTTTGTAAAACTCTGAAGGCCAGATGAGAAACTGGAAAATTACTGAGAAATCCTAGCTGTGTCACCCACTTGGGATATCTGTGGTCAGGCTGCCCCAGTCATACTAAAAACAGTTTGTGTTAAATCACTCTCATAGATATCTGTGAGACTGTTTCAGCTAAGATAGGGAAAAACAAAATAACAGGTGGCGGGCCACATCAAGGGGTCATCCTACCCCCCTTGACCACCCAGTTCCTGGAATCTTGGTGCCCCTGCCAAACTTTGACGCAAATCGTGGTCTCATGTAAACGTACCAATCAGCCCCCTGTAACCATGCTTCTCGCTTCTGTACCAGTGCTTCTGTTCTAAAACCCTATAAAAACTCCAGCTTCCTACCTGGGGGGCGCGGAAGTCTCCCGAATGACTTTTCGCCCCGGGTACCCGTGTATCAAAATAAAAGC